CTACTCTTCACATCACTATCACTCCAGCCTGTTCATTGCTTAATAGCACTAATCACTTTCGGAAATTACTTTGTTTACTTGTTTTTTGAAGTTCCAAGGGAACTTTGCTCAGAAACTCTAGTACCTAGCACAGTGCCTGGTACAAAATACATGCCCAATAAATAAGTGTTGAACAAATGAATTAATACAGGCTCTCATGATTTCTTACCTAAACATGGCAATACATTTTTAAGTAGACTCCTTGACACGTCCTAGCTCTTCCATTCCGTCATTTATGCTTCTACCAGCATTTGTCTAATTCATAAATCTGATGATGTCTAAAATTGTTTGATGACACTTAATAACTTTCTAGATGAAGTAAGTCATTCATTGAACAATTACTTGTTGAACTTAAACTATTTGCTAAGGACTGGAAATCAGAGATGAGCAAGGTGCCGTCGTCTACGGAGGCGCTGAGGAAGGGTGCTGACCCATGGCCAGGGAAGGGAGTTTTAGGAAAAGCTTCCCAGAAATTGTAACATATAGGGTGACACCTGAAGTATGAATAGGGGTCATCCAGGTGAAAGAGAGAGGTTAAAATGTTCTGGAAAAACGGAGCATGTGTAAAATCCAGAGGTAAATGTCAATGTGGCTCTGGAGAAACTAGAGGAAAGAAAGTGACGACACGTAAGTGTAACATATGAGGGAAGGGATAGAGGACAGACAATGTACTAAAGGGGTCCACGAGCCACTTTTTTTTTTTTTGTGGTGAGTGTATATATATATATGTGTGTGTGTGCGTCTGTGTGTATAATTTTTCCATTTCAACATATTTTACGCATACAATTCAGTGACATTAATTACTTTCACCATGTTGTGCAACCATCAGCACTGTTTCCAAATTTTTTCATCACCCTTAACAGAAGCTTAGTGCCCCCCAAGCAATGACTCCTTCTTTCTCCCTCCCTCCTACCCTAGTAACCATCGATAGACTTTGGTCTCTTTACATTTGCCTATTCTATATATTTCATATAAGTGGATCATACAATATTTGTCCTTTTGTGGCTAACTTCACTCAGCAAAATGTTTTCAAGATTCATCCATGTTGTAGCATGTATCAGGAATTCATTTTTCTTTATGGCAGAGTAATATTCCATTGTATGCACCACATTTTGTCTATCCATTAATCTGCTGATGAACACATGGGTTGTTTTCACCTTTTGGTTATTATGAATAGTGCTTCAATGAACATTGGTGTACATGTATGTTTGTGTTCATGCTTTCAATTCTTTTAAATATATCCCTAGAAGTAGAATTCCTGGATTGTATTATAATTCTATGTTTAACTTTTTGAGGAATCTCCAAACTATTTTCCAGAGCAGCTGAACCATTTTACAGTCCCACCAGCAATGGATGAGGGTTCCAATTTCTCCACATCCTTGCCAACATCTGTTGTTTTCTGTTTGTTTGTTTTAATCATAACCATCTTAGTTGGGGTGAAGGAGAATTGCGTTGTGGTTTCAATTTGCATTTCCCTAATTGCTAATGACATTGAGCTTTTGGGAAATGTCTATTCAAGTCCTTTGCCCATTTTTTATTTCTTCTTTTAGGAAATATCTGTTCCTTTGCCAATTTTTTAATTGGGCTGTTTGTCTTTTTAAGTGGTGGGAGCTTTTTAAAATATATTTTGGATACTAAACCCTTATCAGGTACATGGTTCCCTCATTTTTTCCCCATTTTGTAGGTTGTTTCTTCACATCGTTGATAACAAAAGATTTTTAAATGTGGATGAAATCTCATTTATATCCCTTATAAATATAGATGCAGAAATCCTCAACAAAATTCTGATACATCAAATACAAAAGCATACTGAAAGGATGATACACAATTATCAAGTGGGATTTATTACAGGAATGCAAGGGTGGTTCAACATTAGAAAATTAATCAATGTAATACACCATATTAATAGGACAATGGTAAAGAACCATATGGTCATCTCAATCAATGCAGAGAAGGCATTTGACAAAATCCAACGTAATTTCATGATATAAACACTCAGCAAGCTAGGAAGGAAGATAAAATCTTCAATATGATAAAGGACATTTTTGAAAAACTCACAGATAACATCATACTCAATGGAGAAAGACTGAGCACTTTCCCCTTAAGATCAGGAACAAAACAAGGATGGCTGCTCTCGCCACTACTATTCAATATGGTATTGGAAGTCTTAGGCAGAGCAATTAGGCAAGAAAAAGAAAGAAAACATATCCAGATTGGGGGAACAAAGGGGGAAAACTATACATTTTTGCTGATGGTATGATCCTATATATAAAAAACCCAAAGAATCCACAAGAAAACTATCAGAGCTGATAAATTCAGATAGGATACAGGTCAACAAACACAAATCTGTTGAGTTTCTCTACATCAGCAATGAAAATTCTAAAAAGGAAATTAAGGAAACAATTCATTTACAAGAACATTTAAAAGAATAAAATGCCTCCAAATAAATTTAACCAGTTAAGTGAAAGATTTATATACAGAAAACTATAAATCATTACTGAAATAAATTAAAGAAGACCTAAATAAATGGAAGGACATTCTGTGTTCATGGATTGGAAGGTTTACTATTGTTAAGATGTCAATATTACCTAAAGCAATCTGTAGAATCAGTGCAATCCCTGTCAAAATTCGAATAGCCTTCTTTACAGAAATGGAAAAGCCAATCCTTAAATGGAACTGCAAGAGGCCCCAAATAAACAAAGCAGTCTTGTAAAAGAAGAACAAAGTCGAATGACTCTCACTTCTCAATCTCAAAACATTCTGTAAATCTACAGTAATCAAAACGATCTGGTACTGTTATAATAATAGCCAGTCTGGTACTGTTATAATGGTTTTCAACAATGGTGTTAAGTCCATACAATGAGGAAAGAATAAAGTCTTTTTAATAAATGGTGAAGAACCCTGGTGGTGCAATGATTAAGTTCTCGGCTGCTAAAAAGGTCAGCAGTTCAAACTCACCTAGTGGCTTCATGGGAGAAAAAAACCTGTTGATCTGCTCCCGTAATGATTATAGCCTAGAAAACTACGTGGGGCAGTTCTACTCTGTCACATGGGGTAACTATGAGTTGGAATCGACTCAACGACACCTAACAACAAGAAAAACAATAAAGGGTGCTGGCACATCTGGATTTCCACATGCAAAGTTATAAAGTTGGATCCTTACCTCACACCATATATGAAAATCAACTCAGAATAGGCCCAGGACCTAAATGTAAGAACTAAAACCATACAACTCTTCAAAGGAAACAAAGGAATGCCGCTTCAACACTTAATATTCACAAGCCACATTTATAACGTCTTGACTCCTTAAGCTGGTGTTTAAGAACTTTGTCTCAATCCTGATATTTGTAAGTTTTATGTCCTGCATTTTCTCAACTTGCACTCCCTGTTCTGGAGATAGCTGACTAGTCAGAGTTTCCTAAATGCTCAATGCCGATCCCTGCTTCTGCAATTCTGCCTAGAATGGCCTAGTCACGTTACTGACCTAAAAGACAAGATTCTAGATTCTAGAGAAACCTTCTATTTCACATTCTGTTCTCCCCTTCTCCATTCCACACAAACATATTTCTAAAAGTAACTTGACTTCTTTCCTCAGTTTTTCAGAGAGGAACAGTTTATGTTTTCCAAGATATTAGCAAGTATAAATTAAATGGCAGTGATTTGGAGACAGAAATGCTTACATACCCTTCATACAACTCTCTAAACAACAGCTGAAACATATAGAACTCCTTGAGAGAGATCAGTGACTCACCAAATTACTCCATCCAGTTTTAAAAGATACACAATGGCTTTTCAATTACACTGAGTAAACATAGCCAAAAATTGACTTTAGATTAAATTTAATGCAGGAAATTTAAGCCAAAGTGTAGCGAACAACAATAGACATGAGATTAAACTGGTAAAAATATTTGAACTTTAATTGTAAGTATGCCATTAATTATTAACAGGGTGTCCTCAGGTTTTCAAATATTTGTTCTTCTGATTCAACCATTGCTATAGATAATATAGCTTTATGATTATTCTGAGCAATGTCTACCATATGATTGCAAACAGTTTTAAAGCACATATTTATCAAAATTTGCACTAATAAACATCTGTTCCACAATTTTCTAATCACAATTATAACTTGATGTCAAATCAGGCCAAAATATAGAAAGTAACATGGAGCCTTTAGGAATAATAGTGTTATTATTGCAGAAGTTCATAATAATTAGCAAAGAATAATTTAAATTCACAAATAAAATATATCATTATTGAAATACACATTGCCATTTTTCAGCCAATGCAGTTGTTTCACAACATATGGGTATGAAATAAAGACATCAGGCTAAAAAAGTAAAATTCAACAATATTCAAATTTTAAAAATCCAAAGATATCATTTTGATTTTTAAGACTAGTCATCTAACCAAGTATATTTAGGAACTTAAAGCCAATGATAATGATTTAACTAATGCTATAAAATTGAATAAGAATATACAAATAGCAAATATACTATGTATTTTTACTAACACATTCCTTTCAACAAGTTAATGAAAATTTATAAAACTGATCCGAAGAAAAACCCTGCTAAACTATGTCATATTATGATGCAACTAATTAATATTATGTGGATTCATATTTACAATGAAACTAATTAATCATGAAAACTATAATGTGGCATAACACTTTTTGTCTACAAGTGAGCCTTTAACTCCATACTAAAGTTATAACATATAACATTGTATATTTTTACCTGAATGTTTTCTTAAAAAAATATATCTAACATCATCATGCCATGTTATTACACCATACTTACATTATTATACTTAATGATACAGTATCATTAAATCTATGTTAACATTTTTCTTATTGATGATGGATAGAATATTCTGTAGGCTGGTTATAAAGATTTGCTTCAAAGAAAATGATTGTTAAATGATCCATGACTTTTAATGAATCATGAGACCTCCAGGTCTTTGGATCAATGAAGGTTTCTTGTTTGACTCGTTATCCTGCAGGTTCTATACAAAAATAAAAGTAAACATTAATGGTATGACATTTTAAAGATTTTACAAACGTATTTGTGTGCTTATATTTTTGGAAGGAGTTAGTGTAATTTCAGTCTGCACCTGGAGAGAAAAAATAAAAATCCAGTTTCTGAATGTAAAATCCCAATAGTGGAATATTATCTGGTCTTTGTAAGGAGCATCATGCATTTAACTGTGATTTCCAAGTAATCATTTTCAAGGTTAAAAAATATAAAGAGGCGCTTTTTTATTCTCAAATTATTGGTTTCTCTGCAAACTTTATAGAAGATTTAGGGCTGTTTTAATTTAGCCTAACATCAAACAATGTAAAAGTCTGAATCTTTAAAGAATGTCCACATGTACCAGGCCTGACCACCAAGTGAGTGAACAATATATGAAATAGCAGTCAGTTTTCTTTCATTAAAAAGGAATTATTTATCTCAGATTGGGAGTAAAACAGGTTTTGTTCATGATGATGCTTTTGGTGTTTTTTGTTTTGTTTTTTCCCTCCATGATGGCTTTTATTTTTTGTTATTTACCTAATTCTGGTTCTGGAACTTTCAGATTACATCACGATCTATTTTAAATAGTACGGAAAATAATTTGTAACTGTCTGTAATATACTTAGCAACATGAACAATTGCCTTTAGTATATACAAAACCATACCAAACTAGTTGCCAAGTTGATTCTGACTCATAGCAACCCTATAGGAAGAGTAGAACTGCCCCATAGCGTTTCCAAGGAGCGGCCAGTGGACTTGAACTGCTGACCTTTTGGTTAGCAGCCATAGCTCTTAACCACTGTGTCACCAGGGCTCCTTAGAATACATACTACAGTAAATTCAAGATTTTGGTCTATAATAATAACACTCCCACCGTCATCCAGAAAAGTGATAATGCCTTTCTGTATAGGAGAGATGGGAGGTGAAGATACAGTTAACACACAGGGAGTGATGAATAGCCTAACTCTCATTTATCTTTTTACTTTATTGCACAACATTTATCTGTAAAAAGTCATGGGCGTGTGTGGCAGGCACGAACTTCACACTTTATGTATGTGGCTAAGAAATAAAGATTGAGAATTATTTAATTACGTTTTCGCTAAACCAGAAAACAGTTTGTGCTTTGAAACAATACGTTTATGATGAAACACCTAGGCAGGCACAGTAAACGAACCAAACGACGACAAAGAAAACCCACTGCCATCGAGTCGATTCCGACTCACAGCGACCCTACGGGACAGAGTAGAACGGCCCCATGGGGTTTCCGAGGCTGTAAATCTTTATGGAATCGGTCTGCCACATCTTCCTCCCATGGAGCAGCTGGTGGGTTGGAACCGCTGACCTTCTGGTTAGCAGCCGAGTGCTTTAACCACTGCCGCACCAGGGCTCCTTAGTAAATGAACAGTGCCCTCAAATATTTTAAACCAGATAAAGGACAATTTTTTTTAAAAAAATTCCCTCTTAAGAACCTATTCTAATTATTTGGCCTTCAAAGAGCATCTTGACACTCACGAAATATCCTCTCATTCAAATATAACCTTAAGGCATTGGAGAAAATTACCGGTATTGGTAAGCAGTAAATTAAATGTTTAAGAGTTTGATCCAACAAGTGCTGAGATGGCATTTTTTTTTTTTAAATTCTTTTTTGAATGTCCTTAGGCAGAGCATACACTCAACATATGCCCTAATCCTTGGTATTGCCTTATGCCTCTCAACTTCATTATTTCATTCTATCTCACTGGTTGTCAGTCTTTGAGTGCAAGATTCTTGGAGAAGAAATGCATGTACATGCATCATATAGTTTATTGAATCTTTCTCCCTGAGTTTCATGAGATAAGAAAAATATCCAATGTCTCAGTTCCTCTCTAGGCAAAATCTTACAGGTAAGTATAGTGTGCATGCACATGTGTGTATGTGTATTTCTTCATTAACATTTATGACATTTAAATTATACACACATATACACATATGTATAATGAATAAGAAAGTGAACATGACTGATATTTAAAAATATGGCTAGATTTTTTTTAAGAATTAAAGGTAAACAAGGGAACACCATTTTATGTCTATTTATAAACACTAAATAAGTGGAAAAATTTAAAACCCTAGACATTTAGAAATCTAGAGATTGATGTATCTTTAATCTTAAAAATCCCACATGCCCACTGGAGCATTGCTGCATTCCAGCAATGAAAACAACCAAGGAAAAGGAAGGTTTGGGAAGAGTGAGTTAATTTCAGGCAATAGTAATAAGTCTTTCCACATGTACCCTGTGAGGCCTCATTAAATGTCTCTTTCAATAATTGTATATTACAGTATGAACAAATTTCATAGTGTATATAAAATTAAAGTGGCAAATCTTTAGGTAAATATAAACCTATGAAGTACATAATAGATCCATTATGTGAATTGATCAATCCTGCAAATGACTTGAATAAGAAATATATCAAAATTCAATTTGGATTTTGTAGGAAGATCAGGGGAAAGGATGATAACAGTTTAATTTGGAGGCATATACAATGTGTATGCACTTGTAAAATGCAACATAAAAAATACCCCATGATCACGTTTCCCTTACAGATGAACACTGAGAGTTATGCTTCCATGGATTTATCCCACGTAAAAAGTGATTTAGTATGTTTCAACAGAGCTGTGGTTCTCAGGCCCTTTGCAAACTCTACCATCATGAAATGGGCTTTCATATGGCTGGGTGATTCCGTCCCAGTCCAGCCCTGTATCCAGTTACCTCAGTTTAAGAAGAACCAAAAGAAGGATTCCTCCACAGGTGACTGTCATACACAAGAGAGCGAAGATGACTTCTCCTAGAAAAGAAAGATAACAAACAAATCACTGGATTCTTAGAGGGAATTTATAATAAAAATATTTTATAGCATTAATTTTTAGCTGACCATTGAAAGGGGAACGAAATCCAGTTTGTGTGATTTCCTTAGCAGCGTTTCTTTGATACAGTGCAATGCCTTTGACGTTAGACAGGGTTGGATAATCTGAAAGGAAATAATGAAAGCACAAAGTTGTTTAAATGTCATACATAGTTTTTACCCCACGCGTTACAGTTCAATTATATCTTAAGCAGTTATTTATTTCCATGACACTATTTTAATAAAATCTGATCGATCTGGGTAGAAGTGGGAACACTTTTCTTAAATTATAAGAGGTTATTTTTCTTACATTTTAAGAGTTTATATTTCCCCTGTTAATCAGATAATTTCCTCTTAGAAATTAATTTGCAAACCATGCTTACATAAAAATAGCTCAGAAAAGGAGGATGAGAATGGTTGCACAACTAGAAAAGTGTGGTCAATGTCACTGAATTATACATGTAGAAATGGTTGAATTGCTGTATGTTGTGCTGTGTATATTCTCAACAGCAACAAAATAAAATTTTTAAAAAATTATATTTTATAAGATAATTCGTTGTGTCTTTATATAAAGAGACTAGGGAAAAAAAGACAGGAGCTTTATGCTACCCATTGGGATATTGAAAAGGATTCATTCTTTGCAAGAGTGATTATTTTGGTATGTTCCAACTATATCTTATTTCCCTAAGACACACTGTACATGTGAGTTCTTTTAAAGAAAAGTCCCCAAGCCACTCTATGCATCCCTCCCCTAAGCCTTTTGAACACCTGGCTTTGCTTTGTGTCCCCTGTTCTCTTTCCTTTAGTTTCCCTTGCCAGCCAAACCTTCAGTTTCTACTCCTGTTACCTATTTTGCCTCCCTTAAGGACTAACTCCTGGCCACTCTGCAGCCCTAGTCTTCTAGGTATGCTCCTGGTAAACGCATTTCCACCCATTTCCAGTAGACTTGGAATTCCAGAAAACCTAGTGGCCAGGGCTTTAAAAAGAAACCTTTCCCTGGTGGAATATGGTCTTTTCTTTGGCTTTGCCATTTTAAAGGCAAAAAGATGCAATCATTAAAAATTAATTGATAGGTCTATTTTATATTATTCTTAGTAATAACTTTAAAGTGAAATCATTCCTACTTTTGACCCAGTTCAACACAAATATGAATGCCAAACATACAAATGACTAACCAATTTTCTTACCAATTTTCTTTTCAGGTTGCTTTTGAGGTTTAAAACAGAGAAAAAATTAGATAAAGCCTCCACTTGGAAGAAGATTTGCTGTCTTCTATTATAGATATTTCATGCATTTTGAGATCCTCGAGTCTAAGTATGAGTAGACAGTTGTTTGCAGCAATGAGTGTTACAAGTAGTGCAATATTACATCCGTTGACAACTTACAACGATAGGCTCTGAGCAGGAGGGAAGATGAGAATATATATGACTAGCGCTCCCATCAGTCCACTCTCCACTGAGGACTGCTGCTGCTCAGAAGCCAGCCCCTTGGAAGCCAGGGTTTGAGCTCTACGTTCAGAATAATCAATAGGAAGCACAGAAGGCAGACTGGAATTTCAAATCAGTAATAAAACTCTCACGGCGGGTTAGAGAGAATATCTCGATACAAAGGCTAGAAATGTGACCGAGGATTTTGTTAGAAAAATCCATTCTAAAAATGAGACAACATTGTCACAATTATCTTCTCAACAACTCATATTTAGCAATTCCTGGACACATTGTGGAGCCCCGTTGGCCCAGTGGTTAAGAGCTTGGCTGCTAAACCAAAAGGTCGGCATTTCGAATCCACCAGCCGCTCCTTGGAAACCCTATGGGGCAGTTCTACTCTGTTCTATAGAGTCGCTGTGAGTCGGAATTTACTTGACAGTGGGTTTGGTTTGGTTTTGTTTTTTGGACATGTTGTATAACAAGATATAGGGTAAGACTACATAAAAGGGAAAAGCAGAAACTGAAACAGTTACCTATTCCCAAGGAGTCTGAACTCTATTTAATAGAGTTAAGACATTTTTAATTAAATATTTTTTAGTCCCCAGCTCAGATATTGGGCTATCATAAATTTATAAAAGCCTGTACATCTCAGGAATTGAAAATTCAACCTCTTCTAAATGTAAACGTAACAGAGGTAGATCTTGTGAAATTGTGCCACTTCTGTATTTATAAAATAAATGTTGTCATTCACTATAAAATTGGAATGGGAGAATTGTGCTGTTTCAACTAATACTGTTTTCATGATAGTGGCCCTTCATTTTGAAAGAATTCATTTTAATCAAATTGGGCATACAGATTTTTTGGTTAAATAAGACACAAAAATATATATTTAAATAAATTCAGAATATGCAGGATAATTTTTTTGCTTCTTTTTAAATTCTATGGTGTTCTGTGAACTTTAAGGCAGACTCATACTCTAGATCTAAATGTGTATAATACACATGGCAAATTAATTATTCGAATGATGCTATAGTTTTGTTTCATGAAATTCTACCCCTAAGTACATTTGGTCTAGTTAGGTATCACTATTCATCTTTGCATAAGAAAAAAAATATTATTTGGGCAAATTAGGCTGTCTTTTAGATATATAACTACCAAAAGTAATTGTTAAACATCCACCTAGCAAGGTTTAGAAAGAATCACCTTATTCACTAAATTTCACTCACATGGAACTCATTAGCAAATTTATAATAGATCAGTGACAGAAATGCTAGCTAATGATCCCAGTGAAAATTTTAATGTTTCTAGCAATCACTCCACAATCTTAAATATTACACCCTAGGAGGATACCAAATATCAGTTACATAGATTAATGTTAGTAAGGATTTCTTGGCTACTGAAGCCCATTGGAGATTCTTCCCTGTCTTTTATAAACAGTGAGGTTTACTGTGTTTTATAACCATGAAATTAAAGTCAGCAGAGTTGATAGCTAACATCAGTCCCACACCATCTGCTATATTTATAAGATAAACGCTGTTAGTGACTTGTTTATCTTTACCTAGACCCTAGGGGAGTTAAACACTATTATGAACTATATTGTAAAATCCCTGTACATTTGACGGGAAATCAAGATTAATTTCAACCTTGCATTAGGAACAAATTTAAATAGTGTTCTCTCCAAATGAGCTGCAGAGATGTAATCATTTTTATTTTTATTTTCCTCCAAAATCCTTATGCCGCAGTGGCTCAGAGCAATGGAGACTTAAACCCTCCTTTGTACAATTTATATGAAATGATAAAGTCATTATAAAAAAGTACAGTAGATCAGATACAGATCAGCAATTTAAAAAATAAACATCAGAATGTTTGATATGAAAATTAAACATTTCACAGACTTCACATTTGTAAACCATTTCATTTCATATTTACTGAAATATAACTTAGAAAACTCTGCTTGGGGAAATAAAATTGGATGAAGTGAACATTTTCATAGAACGTAAGTAGTTTAAAACAACATATTTTGTAGCTGTTTTTTGAAATGTTAATTCAGCAGTAGCATAGTTAAATTTTTTTTTCTTCTGTCAGTTTTAAACAAGAAAATGACAATTTTCTTGCAGTATCTTATTGACAATGAAAATTCAAGGATGACTTTCTTGCATCTCCAAAGGTTGGCACTATTTATCAACCTTAATATATTAAATTTCAGATTTGTCCAAAATTATCTTATATGAAGCATACTCATTGGAAATGAATTTGGAATTATTTCACTTAATGAGCAGGAGTGAGGTTCCATATATCACGTCATTTCATACATTAATGACCACGGTATAAGCACGTATAACCAGGATATAACACTATTGCTGCAAAAATGTACGGTGTAAAAACTAAACCAAGTAAATAATGTGCTTGTCCGAAATAGTCATAATATACATCATCACATATTCATTTATTTGTTTCACCTAAAGTAAGCTACTTGCTTTCTTCCAGAAGAACTAGAAAGAAGAGAAAGCTATGTCTCTGATTTATCTTCTAACACTATGGCTAAACACATCAACAAATAAGTATGCTTTTGAGAACATTTGCTATAATCTTTTGGCATGAGCCTAAAATCTTAATGTGAATAAATGACTGTATTGACAAACTTGACAACTTCCCTTTGGCCCTTGATGGAGTCACAGTGTGTTGTTCACACGTCTAGTGGATTTGTTCAGTGATTATAGTGGGTATCAACTGTACTACTAAATTATCTCAAACGTTCTATCATTTCCCTTAATAACATCTGCAAATAATGAAATAGTCATTGAAATAGCAATTGAAATACAAATTTTGCTATTTCTGCTAACTGTTATGCTAGATTAGATCAACATAGGTAGTATTATGGTTACGGAAGGTGGAGTCCCTGGATAGTGCAAATGGTTAGCACGCTTGGCTGTTAACTGAAAGTTTGAAAGCTCCGGTCCACAAAAAGGCACCTCAGAAGAAAGGCCTCGTAATCTGCTTCTAAAAAAAAAAAAAATCACCCGTTGAAAACCCTATGGAGCACAGTTCTATTCTGACACACATAGGGTAGACATCAGTTACAGTCAACTCAATGACGACTGGTTTGGTTGGGTTTGGTATTAGAAGGCAATGATTTTAAATCTTGAAATTAAAAAAAAAGTCAACTCTAGCTTCAGGTTCATACAAAACAGTTTACAAAGACATAGACTGAAAATAGGAATAGGGTATTTATGGTTCATGGAGTATGTATCTATAATACAGGTAGCCCCTATTTACACGTATTCAGTTATTACGAACCACACTTAAGACTGTCCTTTTTTTTTTTTTTGGTACATTTTATTGTAATAAGTACTACTACATACTTACTACATTTTGTACATCTTATTATAGTAATATCTACTATATACAATGTTGCAGCACATAATTTGCTGATGTTACATTCTCAGATGTTCACTCATGGATGTTCCATGTTATGATTTACTGATTAAAACACTGCCATATAGCAGACTATGCCCTGGTCTACAATGAAGTCTGTATCAGTCCCAGTGTAGGGAGTCATAAGGGATAGAAAGTTGGGGAATGTTTAACAACATAGGACAACTGGAGGCAGGGCCAAGATGGCAGAGTAGTCAGATGCTTCCGGTGTTCCCTCTTACAACAAAGACCCGCAATGACAATCTAGAAGCCCTGAACATCAAA